AGGCTCAGGATGCACTTACACAACAGAAGGTGGCCATTAAGGTTGAATCGTCCCAACAAACCAAACAAGTTTTGAAAATGGAAGTTGCAGTTTTGAAGAGACTTCAAGGGAAGCCTCACGTTTGTCGATTCATCGGATGCGGTCGAAACGACCAGTATAACTACATTGTTATGAGTCTTCAGGGTCGCAACCTTGCAGAGCTCAGGCGTTCAACTCGTCGTGGCTACTTTTCAATTTCCACCACTGTCCGACTTGGACGACAAATCCTGACAGCTATCGAGAACATTCACGCCGTCGGTTTTTTACACCGTGACATTAAGCCTTCTAATTTTGCCTTGGGAAACGGAATCGGACCTGGATCTGTTAGTCCTCGAACCATAGTAATGCTTGATTTCGGCCTTGCCCGCCAGTACACTACAACAAATGGCGAAATTCGACCACCCAGACAGGTTGCTGGTTTTCGTGGAACTGTCCGTTACGCATCCGTCAACGCCCATCTGAACAAAGAATTAGGGCGACATGACGATCTGTGGTCACTCTATTACATGTTGGCAGAATTTATTACTGGCGAGTTGCCCTGGCGCAAAATAAAGGATAAGGAGCAAGTTGGAATTATGAAGCAGACTTTTGATCAGAATAATTTGCTCAAATTTATGCCCCGTGAATTTCGTGCTTTCTTGGAACACATTCAGAGTCTGACATATTTTGACAAACCTGACTACCAATTTCTACAATCCTTACTCGCAAATTATATGGAACGGAGGTCGATCAATGAAAGTGATCCCTTCGATTGGGAGGTGTCATCTGATCAGTCGGGAGGAACGAGCGAAACCAACCAACACCACACTAATTTACATGCTTCCCCAGCTCCAGAAGCTGGCAAGGGAATAGCAACTGATGGAACCAAAGCAGTCCGTGGTCCCGCGTTGCTGCACACTAGGGCCATGGCACCTACTCAAAGTGGTGCTGGTCTAGTGGTTACTAGTGGCTTCGTGAGCGGCGCACGCTACGGTGGAAGCAGTTCTAACCTCCCCGGCGATGCATCGAATGCAACCAACGGTGGAAATAAAGTGTTTCCTGGCGGTATTGGTGGATCAGCAACCAATATACACAAGCTTTCACTAGGTAGCGGTTTCGCTAACCACGCTTCTGACGATGGCGTTATCAATAACAATGGGGACCAGACTCCGGGTAACCCCGTTTTCAGGAAGACACCTTATGCTCCATATTTCCGATCGAGTTATGCAATGAATACACCACGTTTTGTCAAGGATACCAAGTTAGCAAGCAAAGCACGTGAAGCATTCCGCAACGCTGAGCAGCATACACCACAATCTAAGGTTTCACCTACAAAAGCTATTGAGATGCAACAGGACGGTTTGAAGAAAAATGAAGAGAGTGGCTCAAGACTCGGTAACTGGGGTCGTCGACCCTTCAATTCAAGTTCGACTAATGTGCGAAATAGTACTGGAACCGTCGGGAGCACCGCAAGCCTGACAGGAGTCGGACTAGGAACCCGTTGCGATACCAGCTGTACGCACGCTGTCGTGGTGATGGTTGATCAAGGCGACGGCAGTAACTGTCCCGACATGACCCGTGCCGCTCCCTTGACAATTGGAAGCCAGTGGGCTGCTGAACCAGATGAGAGTGAAAACGATTCAAAAATATCCGACGACGAAGCTGATACTCGCCCTGAAGCTCAGCCAAATGCACAAC